GTAATCCTAGCTACTCAGGAGGCTGAGATCTGAGGATCGAGGTTCAAAGCCAGCCCGGGCAGGAGAGACCGTGAGACTCCTATCTCCAATAAACCAACAAAAAAAAGAGTCTCATGACTTTCCTGCCTAGGCTGGCTTTGAACCTCTATCCTCTGATCTCAGCCTCTTGAGTACGTAGGATTACAGGCGTGAGCCACCATCGCCCAACTACACGAACAAAAATTTTTAATTTTTCCTGTGCATTACATAGCTCATCCAATCCTCAAAATAATAAATCAAAAATCAAATTTCACACACAAAAATTAAATTGCTGGGGGCTGGGAACGTGGCTCAGTGGTAGAGTATTTGCCTCATATGCATGAGGTCCTGGGTTTGATTCCTCAGCACTACATAAGCAGAAAAAAAGCTGGAAGTGGCACTGTGGCTCAAGTGGTAGAGCGCTAGCCTTGAGCTGAAGAACTGAAGGACAGCACCCAGGCCCAGAGTTCAGGCCCCACGACTGACAAAAAAAAATTAAATTAAATTGCTGATTGGAAGGTGGCTCAGTGGTAGAGTGCTTGCCTTGCATGCATGAAGCCCTGGGTTTGATTCATCAGTACCACATACGTAGAAAAAGCTAGAAGTGGTGCTGTGGTTCAAGTGGCAGGGTGCTAGCTTTGAGCAAAAGAAGCTCAGGGACAACACCCAGGCCCTGAGTTCAAGGCCAGGACTGGGGGGGAAAAAACTAAATTACTGTGTGTGCATGTACACAGCTCAGCAATGGAAAGCTCTTAGCCCTCAATGTCAGGTGTTGGAATTGTTAGGTGATCTGCTAAGTGATTCCCTGCCCTCATTTTTGTGAAAATATGCCTCCCATAAAGCAAATACAGAAGGGAAGGGAGTGGGGGAGGGGGAAGTGGGAGAAAACAAGGGAGGGGAAACAATGTTTGACAAGAAATGTACTCATTACTTATGTAACTGTAACCCCACTGTATATCATCCTTACAATAAAATAAAATTTTTTTGGGGGGGCGGTCCGGTCATGGGGCCTGAACTCTGGGCCTGAGCGCTGCCCTTCAGCTCTTCAGCTCAAGGCTAGCGCTCTACCACTTGAGCCACAGCACCACTTGCAGCTTTTTTCTTTTTGCTTATGTGGTGCTGAGGAATCGAACCCAGGGCCTCAGGCATGCAAGGCAAGCTCTCTACCACTGAGCCACCTTCCCAGCCCCACAACAAAATAATTTTTAATCAAAAAAAAAAAAAAAGCAAGGGGCTGGGAAGGTGGCTCAGTGGTAGAGCCCTTGCCTTGCATGCCTGAGGCCCTGGGTTCGATTCCTCAGCACCACATAAGCAGGGGGAAAAAAAAGCCGGAAGTGGCGCTGTGGCTCAAGTGGTAGAGCACTAGCCTTGAGCTGAAGAGCTGAGGAACAGCGCCCAGGCCCAGAGTTCAGGCCCCATGACCGGACCCAAAAAAAAAAAAAAGCAAATGCAAGGTAACAATGTGCTTCATTTAAGTGACAGTGAAAATTGAGATTGGTTGGAAGACAGCATGTCAGTAGTGAAAGCTGGGCGGTGTTTTGGGGAAATGTATCATGGACAGGCATCCTGCTCATGCCCAGCGTTTCCTCACTGGTGCGCTCCTTGAACCTATACCCACAAGTACTTAAAGGTCAAGTGGACTTTAATTTCAGCCACCAATACTCAAAGATATTCTACAAGGGAAACCATCCCATTGCCCCTCCCTCAACTTCCCTTGCCCCTGGTACTAACTCTAGCCCCACCCACATTTTCATTTATTCAGAACCCCTACAAAAGTATCAGAGCCAGAGTCCCAGTAATATAAATTAAATGAGCAACTATAGGGTGTAACTCAGAACTGGGAAGATGTTTTCAACGGAACCTCCCTAACCAGACATGGTAGCACATGCTTGTACTCAGTTACTCAGCAACTCAGTTCAAAGCCAACTCAGACAAAACACTGGTGAGCGTCCATCTCAACAAATAAGCCAGGTGTGTAGTCTACACATGTGAATTCCAGCTATGCAAGAAGTACAAGTAGGAAGAGCTGAGTCTCAGACCAGCCCAGGACAAAGAACAAGAGCCTCTACCCAAAAAGTAACCAAACCACAGCAAAAAAAAAGGCTAAGAATGTGGTTCAAGGCTAAGAATGTGGTTCAATTGGTAGAGAGCCTGCCTAGCAATACAAGGCTCTGAATTCAAAACCATAGTATTATCCAAAACACACACACACACACACACACATATATATGTATGTATGTATATATGTATGTATGTATATATAATAACCTCCTAAGGTAAATGTGACAAAATGATGGGAAATACACATTACCAAAATCAGAGAAATACAGATTAAATTGTAAGGTACCCTAGCAAACAACTGGCCTGAACTTTTTCTTTTTTTTTTTTGGTGCCAGTCCTGAGGCTTGTAGTCAGGGCCTAGGCACTGTTCCTGAACTTTTTTTCACAAGACTAGCACTAAGCACTGGCCAGGACTTTCTGAAAAGTCAATTGCATCTGGGCCAGTGCCTCACACCTGTAATCCTAAAACTGACATCTGAGGATTACAGTTTGAAGCCAGTCTAGGCAGGAAAGGCCATCAGACTCTTACCTCCAATAAACCACTCAAAAACCATAGGTGATACTGTGGCTCAAGTGGTAGAGCACTAGTCTTGAGCTGAATTGCTCAGGGACAGCGCCCGGGCCCAGAGTTCAGGTCCCATGACCGGACAAAAAAAATTAGAAAGGGCTGGGAATTTGGATTAGTGGTAGAGTACTTTCCTTACATGTATGAAGCCCTGGGTTCAATTCCACTACATAAACAGAAAAGCCAGAAGTGGTGCTGTGGCTCAAGTGGTAGAGTGCTCACCTTGAGCAAAAGAAGCTCAAGAACAGTGCGCAGGCCCTGAATTCAAGTCCCAGGACTGGGGGGAAAAATATAGAGAATTTAAGGGGGTTTTTTTCTTCTGTTTTTCCCTCCCATCCCACCCAGAAGTAGTATAGTTCTGTTTAATGAGTTTAATGATGATTTTTTAATGATGTTTAATGAGTACCACTGCTGCATTCATTTGTTCACCTATTTAGAGAATTTAAGTTTAAAACAATTGCCAGTTATCTAGTTTTGCTTTAGAACCAAGGACTGTCCCTTTTGTGCTTAAAGATTAAAGAGATTAAAGAGCCAACACTGCTCTGCCAAATTCTAATTTTAAAAAAAACACCAGGGGGGGCTGGGAAGGTGGCTCATTGGTAGAGTGCTTGTCTTACATGCCTGAGGCCCTGGGTTTGATTCCTCAGCACCACATAAGCAGATAAGGCCAGAAGGAGCACTGTGGCTCAAGTAGTAGAGCACTAGCCTTAAGCTGAAAAGCTGATGGACAATACCCAGGCCCAGAGTTCAGGCCCCACAACCGGCAAAAAAAAAAAAAAAAACAGATGTAGGTGGCACACACTTGTAATCTGAGCTACTCAGGAGGAAGAGATTTGAGGAGGATCCCCATTCAAAGCCAGCCTGAGCAACAAAGTCCATGAGATTCATATCTCCAATTAACCACCAAAAAGCCAGAAGTGGAGCTATGGCTCAAATGTTGAATACCAGACCTGAATAAAAAAGGCTAATGGCTGTTCAAGTCCCGGAGGGGGGGAGGGGGGAAGGCAAAGGAAGTTCCCCTCATTGGTTGACCCTTTAATCCATTCTGCCTAAATCTGCCTATTGTACACTAGAGACACAAGACCTAATAAAACAAGTTTGGAGGGCTGGGAAGGTGGCTCAGTGGTAGAGCGCTTGCCTCACATACATGAAACCCTGGGTTCAATTCCTCAGCACCACATAAGCAGAAAAAGCCAAAAGTGGCGCTGTGGCTCAAATGGTAAAGTGCTAGCCTTGAGCTGAAGAGCTGAGGGACAGGGCCCAGGCCCAGAGTTCAGGCCCCACAACCAACATAAATAAATAAATATTAAAAACAAACAAAAACAAGTTTGGGGCCCATCTTTTCTCCCAAGAAACTCCCACTTTAGGAAACTTGTGCTGCCCTTCTCCAGCCCTCTCACCAGTTCCACACACCAGCCCACAGTAAGGGCCCGCTGGAGACTGTCAGCATCTTGATTCTTTGGCTCCACCAGCTCCTGGAATGCTACCAGCACGGTCAACCCGCGATTGTATTTGCCTCCAATGGCATTGTACTCCAAGACCTAGAGCAAGGGGAGAGGGACAGGAGAACAGGTCCACAGGACAGTTAGCTCAGATTTTCCCATCCCTCCTCCCTCTCAGCCATCATCTATTTCATCCTTCCTAATTCCAGGACCCCTGCAGGGAGCCCCCAAAATTGCAACTATCTTGACTTCTTGAGTTCTGAAGCCCAGCTAGAGTTCTCCAATACCTAGCTGACATTTATATGGTATTCCCTATTAAGTTTAAAGCCTTCATAGTGAAGATTAAGTCCTGTACCCAAACCCAGAACTCAAAGAAAACTCAGTAAACACTAATTGCTCAGGTCACTGCTCATCTGACTTCCTTTCCCCACCAATTCTTACTTTGCACCACACAGGGTTCAACCCATCTGTACTAAACATGAGGCCCCAAGCCACAGCCACTCACTGTAATTCTAGCTACTCAGGGACTGAGATCTGAGGATCTCATTCAAAGCCAATCAAGGCAGGAAAGCGGATGAGACTTTTATCTCCAATTAACCACCAAAAGGCTGAAAGTGGAGCTGTGGCAAGTAGTAGTATGACATTTTTGAGTGAAAAAGCTAAGGAAAAGGAAGTGCCCCGACCCCAAATTTAAGTCCTAGTGTTGGCACATGTGCACACACACACACACACACACACACACAAATAGCCCGGGGGAACTCAAGTTGAGGGATCTTTTTTGCACTTATCCTGGTGCAACTTTTCACTAAGCCTTTGTTCCCTGCTCTCAACCAGAACCAGAACTAATGATACTTCCCTTTAAATCCTCTTCCCAGTATAGACAAAGTCCTCTGCTTTTCTTTGTTTTCCCTCAGGCATATGAGACAGAGGGCACTTACAGACAGTTTTTTTTTTGTCAGTCCTCTGGGCATGGGCACTGTCCCTGAGGTGCTTTTGCTCAAGGCAAGCACTCTACCACTTAAGCCACAGCACCTTTTTGAGTACTTTATTGGAGACAAGAGTCTCTCAGAAGCCGGGCTGTAATCCTAGCTACTCAGGAGGCTGAGTTCAAAGCCAGGACCAGCAGGAAAGTCTGTGAGACCCTTATCTCCAATAAACCACTCGAAAACCGGAAGTGGTGCTGTGGCTCAAGTGGTAGAGCGCTTGCCTTGAGCTGAAGAGTGCAAGGCCAGAGTTCAAGCGCCACGACCAACAAAAACAAACAACAAAAAAAGAGTCTCACAGAGTTTCCAGCCCAGACTGGCTTCAAACCATGATCCATTAATCTCAGCCCTGAGACCAGCTTTTTTTTTTTTTTTTTT